TCCGATCTTTCGTTAATGTAAATAATTATCAAACTTACAAGTTATTTATCTTTATAATTTAATTAAACGGATAAATACCAATGTCCTTTATATTAATAGAAATATTTTAATATCTAGGAACCAAAGCAAAAGAAGATGTATTCGATGTTGACATTCGTCGACAATGAGCCACCGCAAGAAGCAATAGATTTTTTCGTTATGAGTACTAGAGCTTTTGCAGAGGAGATTGCAAACTGGCCAGAAGCGAAAAAGTAAGATATATATCTACATAAAGTAAAGTATTATTTGCAGTATTTATTGTTCTACTCTGTCTAAAATGACATTTTATATGATACAACATAAGTGCCTTAATATGAAAAGATTGAACATGTTACGGTGATTTTATCGCTCAACGCCAACTCGATAGTGTGACTGTACATATGCGATTGTATGACGTTCTCACATAAACGTCACACAATCGTATATGTACAGTCTATGCGAAATATTTTTATTAAATTACTTTTGTTTTTATTGAATTATTAGTCATATGGAGGGACTAACTTTTAACTTGGACTTGCTCGATAAAACCACCTTAAGCAAAACGTGCCAAATATAAGTACAAATTGCGCTATTTAAAGTAAATATTTTATGATTAATTTTTCATAATTTTATATAAATTTATATTTGTGATTTTTATTACTAGATACTCGGAAAAAATTGCTAAACTCCCCGATCACATATATCAAATTCTATTAGATGCAACTAAACTCTCTGAGGATGAATTTAATGTTATTAATCACGGTGATTTTCACGTGAACAATGTATTGTTCAAATATGATAATGATGGCAAACCCATTGATCCCATTTTTGTAAGTACCATCATGTTATAAAAATTTTATATTTCCTACAAACGCGAGTGCTCATCAATTTAATATAATTGCGACTTCATACTGCGAGATTAATGAGAATTAAGATTAAATATAATAATTTGCGAAATCTAATTTATACTTGCATGATACAATTTATATTATTGAACTAACGAATTAACTTAAAAATTATGGATAAGTAGAACAAAGTAATTAGGCAAAGACAATATGTTTAAATAATGTTCATGATAATTTACATTTTTCTAAATTAAAAATTATATCTTATTTTTCGCCTAATTACTTCGTTCCATATTTATCTGTAATATCTACATTTCTGAATTTTTCTTATAATATTTACAATTGAATGTAATAATATCATTTTACATAAAAATAAACAAAGTAAATATAATAAGTAATAATATAATAAATATAATAACAATAGTTATTTTTCGAGAGATTATGTCGTATTTTTATTAGCAATATCGGCTTTAACAGACTAGACAAAAAAATAGTAATAATCTAAGATACTGAAAATGCAGTATGTTATGAATAATGCAATAAATCCAGTTCAATTCGGATACATCCGTTATGTGTTTGATCGTGTCGTCCGCGCTAACTCTCAACTTTGTTACCAAGACTTCTTAAACATGATCTCTCCCACTTTATGCTTCTATTTTATTTCAAATTTAATTTTGTCAGAAATTCAAGGGATCGATTAATCGAAAAAGTTGGTTTAATATTACAGGTGGATTTCCAGGAGTGCGTATACGCATCACCGGCAGTCGATCTTTTATTTTTTTTCAATACAAGTCTTTGCCTTGATGTCATTGAAAACAAGAGAGATATTCTATTAAACGAATACCTCAGCACCTTGTCGGCGACTATAAAACAATTGAACTGTAAGACGCAGCCGCCTAGCATGGAGGAACTGAAGGCAATCCTAAAGCGAAGGGCTGGTTATGGAATGATGGCATCCATTACGATTTTACCGATGCTGCTGTGCAGTAAGACTGAAGCGACAGATTTAGATGAGATGATGGGCACTGGTATTTGGATTAATCCAGGCCTAAAGAGCGAGAATTATAAAAAAATAATGTTAAAAAAAATTCCACTATTTGATAAGTGGGGTTTGTTAGATTTTTGATATTTGATTTTTAATGATAAAAATTTAAAAAAATAGAAATCTGGGAAAGAAATAAAAATAATAGACATAAATAATCGCAACATAAAAAATAGCGAATGTATTAAAATTAATAACAATAGGTATACGTGGAATGTTCATATACTTGTTTAAAAAAGGAGACATCATGGTTCGTATGTACGAATTAATATAATAACATTGGTAAACTTGTTGAAAGTTTCTGAAAAACAAAAGTGATTTCCCACTTTAAAAAAAGATTTTTGTGCGCAGAAAACGATGTTGCTCTTAGAATTTAACGTATCATGTCATTTATGTTACTTTCGAGAAAAATGAGGTTGTAAAATCCTTAAAAACGCGGCAATTTTTTAAAAACCTGTATAGTGAACGAACTTTACGTACTAGAAATTTCTAAAAGATCTTAAATAAAAGCTTAAACATTGTACTCCAGCCCAAGTATCTCCAATATTATAAAATTATTTACCTGCAGCAATGTGTGTTTGTAACGTTGTGTGCGCGTGTGCTCATTTCGTCACTGCATATATTGTTAGGGCGGAAATCGAAAAACTTAACAGCAAAAAATATTACATTTTATTCATGTACAAAAAATAATGTTGTTAAAATCGATGTATATAATATTTTTTTTATAATAATATCAATACAAATGTACAAATTAATTAAGAAGAATTTTAGGTTTTATACAGGGTGTCCCATTTTAATCGATCACCTACATATCGATCGATGTAAAGAATACTATTGTTTTTACTTACACCTTTGGAGGTCAAAATCGATCCTTTTTGACATTCTCCTTTAACATATTTTACATGTCCCAAACGGTCTATTCAAATTTTTGTTAATTTAATGCAAGATGAATATACTAGAAATTAAGTAACACAAACATTATGTAAAAATTAATACAAAAAAATGGAATACTTTTAATACAATTTAGAAACAAATTGTGGAAATATTATTCTTTAGTAAAATTAACACTAATTATAACATGTAAAATTAACAAGTATATTTATCTTTTATTCATTTATTTTAGAATTTAGGTACGGTTTAAAACTATTTTATTTTTATTTTTATGTTATTTATTCACTTACTTATAAATTGTGTTATTTTGAAACTGAGAAATATTGAATATCAATTTAACACAAAATATTTAAATAATCACATTATGTTAATTTAACAAGCAAATTATGTTAAAAATTTGACACAAAATTTTAACAAGAACGTGAGTGGACCGTTTCGAACATAAATACAAAATGTTTTTACTGCGTACAATATATGTATATATTTATATGTTTTTATATAAAAATTGTTTTCCAAGTAAATAATAACTGTTAAAAAGAAAAAATAATGATATTATGTTGTAAATAAACGGTGCATGTCAATAAAAAAACAAATTATTGAAAATGGATATTATCGTTTTTCCAATAAAATTTATTTAAAAAAAAATATACCAAAGAAATGTCGAATAAATATATAAAATTTTATATATATTGTATACATATACATAAATTATTATACATATATTGTATAATATATAAATTTAAGATTATAAGAATATATATTGTATACACATAAGTATATAAATTTAAGATTATAAGAAGTTATTCCGTAACAAAACTACATAGATATAACATCTAGGCAAAATTATTCTAATCTTTGTCAAAACGAAATGTAATTAAGGGCAATTAAATCCAATTAACTATCTAGTAGAGACTATATAAACAATATTTCCTGATGCAATCGAACTTTTTGGGACAAATGAGTGCCTTGTCGAGTAAGAGAAAAAGAATGAAGATCCGTATTACAAAGGTGAATCGTGTAATGCAATAGTAAAATCATAATGCCAGTTATTTTAATAATTCATGATATAATGTATAATTGACTCTAGTTTACAATGTTAACTTTTTGCGACATATTGGTTATTTATAAGTTTATGATAGTTAGCAAGTAGTAGAAAGACGTATTGTTAGTATAGTTGAAACTAGTTTCGCTTTTAATGTATTGACTTGACGTGGTAAATTATTTATTTATTAATTACCAAATATCTATCATGTCGCTCGTCTTTGGCCTAATTTAAAGTTTGTTTATAAGAAATTATATACACATGGTGATTCTTGAGTAAATACAGAAAAGAATATTTCTTGGTTCATTTTAAGAACGGGAAAGATCATATAAATATACGTCTAATACTGGTTTGAAAATCTAGGAAACGCTTAGAAATATTTTATTTAACCTTCAAATGGCACACTTCGTTCGAGCACCCACTAATAGAATGATGGTGCGAATTTGGATATGACATCTTAAATTGTACATCTTTCCTGAAGGTAAAAACATAAATATTTTGAAAACCACACTTTTTGGGGGTAAAATTTTCTCAAATCCAACAATATTATTCAATTTAATGAAAGAACTATTTAACAATCGAAAATTAATTATAAATGAGTTACCGTTTTGAAAAATGTCACTTTTTTGAAGAAAAGCTGCCATTTTTTTGTTATTTCATGAAATGAAGTGAAACTTGCGTGATTCTTTAGTTAAAATGATGTACTTTAATAAAAAAATTATTGTTGTTGCAGAAATAGAAAGTAAAATATTTTTCCAGATAGCCAGAAGGGCTATTTTCTGTTCGTTTAATAGTAATTTGAATCTTTTTAATAAATTTTTCTAAAAATAATTTTAATGAAAATTAGGTATTTTAAGAACAAATTTTGTCAATTTATAAATGAATTATTAATAAAAACCGTTTACATAATTAAAATTATATTAAAAAGTACTGTTCATATTATCATGAAAGTAGATCGGA